TCTCTCTGATCTGCTACAATCATATGTCCCACCACGTTTCCTGAGGTCAGCGGGCCAGTTGCTCCTCACAGTTCCAGGAACTCGTCTTAAGCGCAGAGGTGACAGGGCCTTCTCTGTAGCAGGACCAAGACTCTGGAACGAGTTACCTCTGCTTGTCAGACAGGCCCCCTCCGTCTCTGTTTTCAAGTCCCATTTAAAAACCCACTACTATTCGGTAGCTTTCAACACCAGATGATCTGGGTTTTGAACCTGTATGTTCCACACTGGTTTGTCGTCATTATCTGCATTGTTTTTATGTCTATATTCTGATTTACTTCATTTTGTATTTTGTTTTGTGTGTTACCTGTTGTTCTGTACAGCACTTTGGTTGGTCTTGTCACTGTTTTAAGTGCTCTATAAATAAAATAGTATGGTATGGTATGATATGATATGATAAACATCCCAAGGAGCACTGTGCAAGCAATCGTATTGAAATGGAAGGAGTATCAGACCACTGCAAATCTACCAAGACCTGGCCGTCCCTCTAAACTTTCATCTCAAACAAGGAGAAGACTGATCAGAGATGCAGCCAAGTGGCCCATGATCACTCTGGATGAACTGCAGAGATCTACAACTGAGGTGGGAGAGTCTGTCCATAGGACAAGAATCAGTCGTATACTGCACAAATCTGGCCTTTATGGAAGACTGGCAAGAAGAAAGCCATTTCTCAAAGATATCCATAAAAAGTGTTGTTTAAAGTTTGCCACAAGCCACCTGGGAGACACATCAAACATGTGGAAGAAGGTGCTCTGGTCAGATGAAGCCAAAATCGAACTATTTGGCCACAATGCAAAACGATATGTTCGGCGTAAAAGCAACACAGCTCATCACCCTGAACACAACATCCCCACTGTCAAACATGGTGGTGGCAGCATCATGGTTTGGGCCTGCTTTTCGTCAGCAGGGACAGGGAAGATGGTCAGAATTCATGGGAAGATGGATGGGGCCAAATACAGGACCATTCTGGAAGAAAACCTGCCTGAGTCTGCAAGAGACCTGAGACTGGGACGTAGATTTATCTTCCAACAAGACAATGATCCATAACATAAAGCCAAATCTACAATGGAATGGTTCACAAATAAACATATCCAGATGCTGGAATGGCCAAGTCAAAGTCCAGACCTGAATCCAATCGAGAATCTGTGGAAAGAGCTGAAAACTGCTGTTCACAAACGCTCTCCATCCAACCTCACTGAGCTCGAGCTGTTTTGCAAAGAAGAATGGGCA